ATAATTGGGCAACCAGAACTGGACACATTATTCCAGAAGAGGCCTCACCAATATCCTCAACATAACATTCAACCTCCTATACTCAAAGGACTGAGCAATGAAAGCAAGCATGACAAACACCTTCTTAGCCATCCTGTCTTTATGTAATGCAAACTCAACAGTGTGATGACGAAAGTTCAGTGGCATTTTGTTCCTGTTAGAGTGAAGGGTAAGGCTGGTATGATTAAGGAACAACGGATGAATAAAGATATTGAGGTTCTGGTCAAAAATAAAAGAGAATTTTTTCTAGATAAAAACCAAAAGAACTGCGGATGCTGTAAATCAGGAACAAAAACAAAGTTGCTGGAAAACCTCAGCAGGTCTGGCAGCATCTGTGAAGGAGAAAACAGAGTTAACGTTTTGGGTCCGGTGACCCTTCCTCAGAACTGATGGTGGCTGGGAAAACGTCAGTTTATATGCAGAAAATAGGGAGGTGGGTGGGGTAGGGAGTAAATAGAGCCCAAAGAGAGAGAAAGGCAGTTGGACAGACAAAGGAGTTGCTAACGATCAGGCTGGGAGGGTGAGTAGTTGTTAATGGGGACTGTTAGGGACTAACAACAGGGAGTGTGTACTGGCAGGCTATGTAGTAATAAGGCCTGGTGTGTAGGGTAGGGGGCTGGGACATGGGAGAGTTTAGGCCCTAAAATTATTGAACTCAATACTGAGTCCGGAGGGCTGTAGGGTCCCCAAGCGGAAAATGAGGTGTTGTTCCTCCAGCTTGCGTTGGGCTTCGCTGGAACACTGCAGCAAGCCAGAGACAGAGATGTTGGCCAGGGAGCAGGGTGGTGCATTGAAGTGGCAGGCAACAGGTAGCTCAGGGTCTTTTTTGCGAGCAGAACGTTGATGTTCTGCATAGCGGTCGCCAAGTCTATGCTTCGTTTCCCCAATGTAGAGGAGACCACATTGTGAGCAGCGAATGCAGTAGACTAGATTCTGGGAAGTGCAGGTGAAGTGTGGAGGGTGATGGGGTGGGGAGTGTCACATCACCCTTCTGTTTCAACTCTCTTTTAGGCAGTCACGACAAATATGTTTATGTTCCTTTTTTGATATGTAGACATTATGCTTCAATTTAAAATAAAAGAACTGTGGATGCTTGAGAAACTTAGCAGGTCTGCAAGTATCGATGGAGAGACCATCAATGAAGAGAAAGCAGAGTTAATGTTTTGGGTTCAGTAACTATTCTTCAGAACTGATTGCAGCTAGGGAAAGGTTGATATATATGTTGAAGATGGAGTGGGGAGAGGAGTAAACAATAGGTGGAGATGGAGCCCAGAGAAAGAGAGCACATTTAGGCAGACAAAGGGATGGGCAAAGGTTAGCCTAGAAGTATAAACAGCTGCTAATGGTTGTGGTAACAGCCCACGTGAAGACAAAGCCTGGTGCATGGGTTTGAGGGATGGACATGGGAGAAAATACTCAGGCCCTAAAATTATTGAAAGAAACCCAAAGAACTGTGGATGTTGGGAATCAGAAACCAAAACAGAAATTGCTGGAAAGACTCAGCAGGTCAGGCACCATCAGTGAAGAGAAAGCAGAGTTCATGCTTAGGGTCAAGTGATCCTTTGTCAGAACTGATGGTAGCTAGGGAAAGATTGGTATTTATGCTGAAGATGAAGATGCTTTATTTAAACTTAATTATTCAGATCAAAAAGACAGAAGAGCCATTCTAAGATTTCCTTGAGTGACAGAGAGTGGTGCTTTAGTTTCTGAAAGTAATAATAGAGCGCAAATACAATCACATGCAGAAATACACAGGTTATAAATCCATGAAATTTTATTGTGCAGAAGGAGACCATTCAACCCATTGAGTCTGTACTGGCTCCTGAAAGAACCAAACGGCTAGTTCCATTCTCCAGCCCTATCATCATAGTCCTCTAACTTCATCCCTTTCAAATATACATTCAACTGTCTTTTGAAACCTCCTATGGAATCTGCCTCCACCACTCTCCCAGGCAGTGCATTCCAAATCCTAACAACTCTCTGAGCAAAGAAGTTTCTTCTCATCTCATTCCTAGCTCTCTTGCTTACAACCTGGAACTTATGACCCTTAATTACTAACTTACCTGCCCGTGGAAACAAAATATCCTTCTTTATCCTGACAAAATTGTTCATAATTTTGAGCATTTCACTAAGGTCACCTCTTCATCTTCTTTGGGTATATATGGATTTTGATGTAAGGTGTATGATTTATCTATATTTTAATGTAATTTATTTTAAAGTTTGGATTTGAATTAGTGGCATTTGAGTTTTGGGCCTTGTGTGAAGGGGTTTAATGATTATCTTGTAAGTATTTCTGTAGCCAAGGTGATTTCTTTGTCAAAAATAATAGTCTGAGAGAGATAGTTCTCAGTGGCTAAATGGGTATTTGTTGACATTGGGAGCTCTTTCACGAATGAGCCCAGTGAATAGTTGTGCATTAGCCTTTCAGTTTAGAAGGTTAGAGATTGATTTTCTTTCTTTGATGTAGGGGAAACACCCATACCTTGAAAAAAGCTTTGCAGAAATCTTGGCTGAAGTTGGACGTCAAAGCAGTTGGTCCTGAGAAAGGGAGGCAGTGCTAAGATTGGCAAGAGATAGATTACTCCAGTGTAGGGAGTTTTAAGTGATTTAAAGTGGTGGTGAGATTTAATGCCTACAGAGTGACCCTGAAAATTCCTCTGAGGGGAGGAAATGCAATTAAGGTAATTGAGAGACGCTCCAAGACATTTCTGTGGAGGCAGAAAAAACATCTCTCCTCCTCCAAGCTCCACATTGAGGTACGTTTAAAAGAAGACTGAAGTCATAACATCTACTTATTCCTTGGCAACCTCCAATTTTTCCTCCCAATGACCAGGTCCCTCCTACACCATGCAAGGAATTATTAAAATTAGTGCATGATAATCTCCATAAACTTTCTGATCAATGTGGGAATGGTCTCTCTACTAGGCACTAGGCTCCTTTTTAGGTCTAATGGGCTGTTTAGGCTGACAGAAGATATGGACAGAAACTTGCCCACAAAACGATCTTGCTTTGTGGCTGGCGAATTCCTCCAAGATGCCTCCACTCCACTGGTATAGCTTCAAACGAGCATCCTGTTTCCACAACTGAGTGTAACTCCACCAGGTATATTGAGGCTACCATGGTGGGAAACCTCCCGTTTGTGTTAACAGATTTAACGTCACCCAAGTTTTTCAAGTGTTACAGTTAAGCCACTTCAGAAATCTAAGCTGGGTTAGAACTTGACAGATTTTCATATATTAAATCCAAATTGGTGTAAGATTGTTCCTAGTTGAAAATGGTAGTATGGCTGGCGGAAGGATTACAGTAAGAAAGATTTGCATTAAAAAATTATCACTGTTAATAGACCTAAAAATAAGAATATTAATACATTGAAAACCAAAGTAGAAATGATGGGTATAAACATAATCTTGGGTAATGGGTGTAAAGCAAACATGTTGAATCAGCTACCCATTATACACCCACCCTTTATATTTATATGATATTACATCACTCAACTTACACTGACACCTAAAGTTAAATTTATCTACGTGTGTATCTGGGCACATTCCTTCTCTGTGCTTTCACAGAGATTATTTTTAACCAGTGGATATCATTTATCTTGGATTGACACCAATAACCAATATATTTGCTACCATGTTTCAATAACATTATTTACTGTTGAACTTAGTTATTAATAGATGTTTTGTACTCTTGTTAGAAATTGAAATTGACATGGTCCAGTTCTCAAGTATGTTATGCTTTTTACCCTAAGGCCTTTGAATGCTATATCGTACTCAGAATGGTTTAAAATCAAGATTCAAGTAAGTGGTTTTCAGAACATAAAAATGTTGCAGCAGGAGTAGGCCTTTCAGCTCTTCAAACTTGCTACTCTGTTCTAGATCATTGCTGATCATTTACTTCAATGCCATATTCCCATACTATCTCCACATCACTAGATGCCATAAGAAACTAGAAATCTATCAGTCTTTGTCTGAAACTTAATTAATGGCCGAGACTTTACACTCATATGTGAAAGAAAGTTTCAAAGATTTACCGCTTTTTGGGTGAAGATATTTTTTTCTCATTCTCAGTCCTAAATGCT